CTAATTTCTTCAAAATATGCCCTGAAATTGACATGGAAAATTTAGTCTAATAAATAGGGGATATAATTGGTTAAAATAAGTGAATTTGAATGAGGAAGTATTTTCTTAATAGTGTTGAAAACAAAGTGGTGGAAACACTCTGTGTTAGCCAGAGCACTGAGAAAACATTTGATATGAAAAAATACCTCAGGGAATACATTTGGTGATACAACAGGCCCCATACTGGTCTAATGTCTATAATTTCATCTAATTGTCAGTAATGGGAAAAAAAAGGAAGGGAAAGAAGATTACCAAAAACACATGGGCCCGTTTGTCTTTCTGCATGGAAACTCTGTGGGGATTCTGTATTAGAATTACATACTAGCAGAATCTGGTCTGTGTGACATGTAAGAAAAATGATCCATGGCCATGATATTTTCCACGCTGCATCTGTGAGTACAAAGTATAGTTGAGAATTCAAATTCTCTGTTTTGTCACACTTAGAAAGACAGCAGGGAACACTGGAAATATTCCCTCTTGAAATTAACCTGAAAATGCCCCCCCAGAAACCCCACCAGGGAAATCATTTTTTCTTTCTTTTTATTGGCAGGGAATTTTTCCTTTCCAAAGACAACATTTACTTACTTTTGACTCTGTTATCAAGCAGGGTGACACAAAATGTATGCCAAGAGAAGTCTGATTATTTCAACTGGTATTTCTTTCTTTGTTCACTTGTCTGAAACAGTGACAGGAACACAGAATGTGGATTCTGAAGGGATCTGAAAGGTTAGTTAGTTGAATAATGTGGCCATAACCTTTTTTTTAAAAAAAATAAATTTATTTATTTATTTATGGCTGCGTTGGCTCTTGCTGCGCACGGGCTTTCTCTAACTGCGGCAAGCGGGGGCTACTCTCCCTTGAGGTACGCGGGCTTCTCACTGTGGTGGCTTCTCGTGTTGTGGAGCATGGGCCCTAGGCGTGTGGGCTTCAGTAGTTGTGGCACAGGGGCTCAGTAGTTGTGGCTCGCGGGGTCTAGAGCGCAGGCTCAGTAGTTGTGGCGCACAGGCTCAGTAGCTCTGCAGCATGTGGGATCTTCCCGGACCAGGGCTCGAAGCCCATAACCTTTTTTTTTTTTTTTTTGTGGTACGCGGGCCTCTCACTGTTGTGGCCTCTCCCGTTGCGGAGCACAGGCTCCGGACGCGCAGGCCCAGCGGCCATGGCTCACGGGCCCAGCCGCTCCGCGGCACGTGGGATCCCCCCGGACCGGGGCATGAACCCGTGTCCCCTGCATCGGCAGGCGGACTCTCAACCACTGCGCCACCAGGGAAGCACCCATAACCTTTTAAATGCTTAAAGGGAGAGTGGAGCCAGCCGGATGTTGTGAGCCCTATTCCCATCCAGGGACCTTTTGCACTTCCCCCAAATCCTCTTACTTATCACATGTGTAAAGTGATGAAAAAGCCTGATGTATAACTTCCTTCGGCCACTCCCCATTCCCAATTATTCCAAAGAGATGCTGCTGAGAAAAAGCGATGATGTGCCTTGATGTGGCAAGTTGCCACTCTGTCCTCCTTCTTATCAGAACTCATTAGTAAATGATGCATTGCTTCTGGAATCCATTTCACATTTTCAAAGGTCAAAGGCATCTTGTGGTAAGCTCTATACTTATATGAAAAAGCATTTTAAAGAAGTATAACATGGGAGACTGGGATTGACATAAATACACTAATGTGTATAAAATAGATAACTAGTAAGAACCTGCTGTAAAAAAAATAAAATGAAATTCAAAAAAAATTTTAAAAAAAGGAAGCATAACATTTATAATGTAGTTTTCACCTAACTCCTAGAATATAAAATTTTATATCCTAAACATTTATGTAGTTTCATATTGGAGGGCACCCTTGTCAGTTTTCTTCTGTTGTTTATATTAGAGATCTGATCGGTGATAATCTTGAAAAGAGAGCTGACATATGGATTCACTAGGCTCTACTTTTTTCTCTGAGAGCTGAGAAGCGCGCAGGTGATGAACAGCCTTCAGGGAATCGCCAGGCTGGTTTCCAAGAGGCTTTATGAGGCAATGCACTGGAGTCAGGAAGCCCAGCCCTGTAGGGTTACAAACTAGTTTACCATGCTGAGGACAGATCCCACTCTCTGGGGTAGAGAACAGTACCTAAGTTCACAAGACTGATTTATAAAACCAGAATAGTATCAATGTCCAACAAGAAATAGATCTGTCCCAGGAACCTGAGTATGCACACCTGCAACTCAGCCCATTGCCTCAAGCCCAGTTCACCGATGTACAATGAGAAACAACTGGCAAAGTGAGCAGTGTATTCGAGAGGATATGAAGAATGCATTCTCTTCCTATGAGTTAACATATCTTGGAAAGAAAATCATCAGAACAAGGGAAGTCAGACTGGTGGGTTGTTTAATGGCATAAGCCCGTGTATCCATCTCACAGTGAGGACACATGCCAGCAGATGGACTGGAATCACCGAGCAGTACCAGCTACAACCTGCTGCATCCATCGCCACGCAAGCGCTGGCCTTGCCAAGTGGTCAGCATACCCTATACACCGCTACAACCTTCTTCATCCATCTCCATGTGAGAGGCAAAGGTTCCCTGACTACTGCACACAACTGGAGAGGCACTTTCAATATTTGTCCTTTTTTCCTCCCATTTTCATGAACGATTCCTCCCCCCACCCCCACACCTTTCTGACCAACACTCTTCTTTAATAAAATTACAGTCAAATCTTACAACCTGGAAACTCATCAGAATTTTTAAGGTAAATTTATATAGCTAAGCCTTGCTCCATTAGGGTTTTTATTTAAAAGTTTAGCCTCTGTTCCAAGTTCTTGGGAGAATATTTAACAGTTCAGACTGTTTTCACAGTGTCAATCACGCACGATTGGCATATAAAACCTCACATTTTCTGTTCTACGTTTACTATAACCTGCAATGCCAAGAAATAAATATGTCGATAATAGGAAACATCATCTCATTTTTCTGAGAATGCCTCCTTCCATCATTCCTGCAGTAGACATATTTTACTAACCTTCATGTAAGAATGTAAACTCCCTGAGGCAGGGGTTTTTGCTTGTTCACTGACTTATCCCAAGTGCCTAAAGCAGCGGAGTGTTCAATGAATACAACCTACAATCTAAACCATGTATTCAAAAAAGAAAAACCAGAAACCAAGAAGTAAGGCGCTAAAACAATATACATCATCGACTTGATCTCTCTGTTTGCTAACTTTCAACATGTCATTCTTAAACCAAACTTCTATTGAAACAGGATTACAATTACCAAAATATATCATAGTTAATAAGATATTTAAGAAATGTTTGTTGACATTTATCAATATAAAATTATTTCAAAATTCTTTTATCATTCCAATTTTTATCTTTTTTTCAAACATTTTAGTCTTTAAATTTACACTTGAGAGAAGTTTCTGAGAATACATGTTTTTCTTTAATAAGTGCAGAGTAGAGGTCAACAAAAAGGCTTTACCTATCACTTTATTCTTCTTTCCATTTTTTATAGGCGTACAAAGCAAACTTCTAATGCACTGCTGTTTTACATTTCCTGTGTTTTCATTCTAAACAGAAACAAAAACAAGACAGCTAAATATTATGAGAAGGCTGTTTGTCCATTAGATGCTATAGAAACTATATTGGACCTCGGAAGCCACTAATATATTCATCTTTTATTAGCTGGAGATAACATCAGAGTGCAGAAAATGTACAAATTATAAGGAAGTTCACATAAATGTACTATAAAGCAATTAGTCTTTACATTATTAAAAATACTAAATATCCTATTTTCTTTAAAATTTTTTTTCATATTTTCCATTTTATTTACCTGTATTTCTTTTATTTTCCATTTTAAACTCTCCAAGCAGCTTACAGTAATAGTAAGCAAAGTATTTATTCAGTTTCTACTATCCCTGTGTAGTGGATGTCTGAAATAACTTAACAAGAGGGGCAGAAGTCAAAAGCATTACACCACCTAGGATTCTACATGTTACAAATTTGTCCTTGTTTAGTTTTCCCACTGTTATCTATTGCCCATATCGCTAACGTTCTAAAAAGGTCTCCTAGGTAGGCAAATAACAAAGTCAAGGCAGCTGCCTCAAACTGCAATGCTTTTCTGAAGTTAGATGAGAAAAAATACTAGAATTCAAAGTTTTCAGTGTCTGAGAAACTGACCCTTGTAGCTTTGCTCTCAAGGAAAACAGATATTCAGTTTTCCACAGAGCTGTTCACTGTGGTAGATTACCAATTATAGGCATTTAAGCCACATGAAACTTAATTGTTGAGGGTAAACTCAGGAACTCCAGCCATACTATCTAAAGAATGTCATTAAGTAGGTAATAGTTAAATTACCTCAAAATTAGTTTATGATAGTTCATTAATACATGTTTAAAAAACTAATAAAAGTACAGAGAAAAATACTCAAGTACAGCTGATAACCTCTCAACAGATGTTATAAGCTGTTTTATTCTCCTTCCTCAGATCACGGAAAGCACAGATCACTCCCAAAGAGCCAATTCTAGGGCCAGTCCTTCAGTTACGAGTAACTAGTTTAGGACTTCCCTGGTGGCGCAGTGGTTAAGAGTCCACCTGCCAATACAGGGGACACGGGTTCGAGCCCTGGCCCGGGAGGATCCCACATGCCTCGGAGCAACTAAGCCCGTGCGCCACAACTACTGAGCCTGTGCTCTAGAGCCTGTGAACCACAACTACTGAGCCCACGTGCCGCAACTACTGAAGCCCGCGTGCCTAGAGCCCGTGCTCTGCAACAAGAAAAGCCACAACAATAAGAAGCCCGCACACTGCAATGAGGAATAGCCCCCGCTCACTGCAACTAGAGAAAGCTCACACAAAGCAATGAAGACCCAACGCAGCCAAAAATCAATAAATAAATAAATTTTAAAATTTTTTTTTAAAAAAAGAGTAACTAGTTTAAGTGCAGATCTGATAGGAAAACAGCCTTCAAGCTCCAAGTCTAAAATTGGGTTACTTACTGTCCAGGGAAATCTTTTATCTTTACTGACATCTGGGATATTAAGTGGTTCCATGGTATTTTTGACATACTGAGCATACATGTAATTGATTCTGTTCGCATCACGTTCCCTGTGGAGATAACAGAGATGAGTTCTTTCTGTGCAGTGAAAAAACGCAGGCAAAACAGAGTCAAATAGATGATTATAAGAGAAACATACCAGTCTTAAATTATAGAGCAAAGCGTATATCTTAGTTGGAAAATGCAGCTTTAAACATATTTGATGATTTACAACTTTGGTAGTTACTATAACTGAAATGCTTTGAAAAAACAAAGACCCACAATTTTTCAGCTATCTAAAACAAGTTTAAAATGTCATTAAGTAATCTTATTACCACTGTTAATGGACGTGTTGATTTTTGTGCTGTTTAAAAATCCATATGAATTTTCCCTATGTCTTATTTTCTCATCAGTTTATAGAATGACTAAAGTCTAGTGTCTGTTTTTACTTCCTCAGTTATTTATTTAGTCTATCCATTCCAATAAAACAATTTTTTACACATTTCAGACCAAGGGAAAAATCGAGCAGGCCTAGAAGAATTTTATTAAGCTCTTCTCTCTTCTTTTTTCTGCTTTAAATGGAAAAAAAAATTTTTGAACTTACAACATTTTCCCAGTTTCTTGCTTAACAGGTTGATCACAAAAGGTTAACCTGATGTCACAGGGTTCATAAGTGCAGTGCCAGTAATGGAGTTGGGAAAACAGAACAGAACGCATCTTTTCATCCGGAAACTTCCTATGTTCCTTGGTGATGGGGATGAATTCCACAAAGAGGGTCAAGTTATAGAAATTTACTCCAGCCATAAGTATGTGCCTGTATTAACTGTAAGATCACTAACTGAAGAAAATAGGAAAGTCTAATAGTGGGAGACATTTCAAAATAAAATATGTGCCTCAGGACAAATGTCCACTTGGTCTGAGTTCTCCAAGTGCTGATCTTTTCCTGTCTTCCATCCTTCCCACTCAGCCTGCCACACTGCTTCTAGGACAGTGGTTTCAGATGATGTTCTCAATCACTGTGATTCCACAAAGATTCCTCAAGTCGTGGCCTCATTCCTGGCCAAGATAATTGAGTCTTTCCTTTCTTTGCTGTACATTTTAGGTTAATAGTAATTTGGTCAAATCAGGTACTGACTGTATGTCCAGTATTATATACAAGTGATAAAGAATGAAAGGGAAATGACAATAGTAACACAGGAATACATGAACTTCAGACTGAACATTTTCTGAGCCTAGATTGATAATGTGGGAAGGCATGCAAAATGTCAGACACATCAGACCTAGGACATTCCTGGGTTTCTATTTCATACATATTATTTGGGTAGAATCCCAAGAAAAGGTTGTAAGTGTAGGATGTAGGTTAACAAGACTATTTTAAAACCACAAATATTTCATGGACAGCGAAAGTCTCACGAAAAGAAAACAAGAAACTGCAGTAAAGATAAGAAAAATGAAAAGGTAGTTACAGAGAGAAAGAAATACACTGGAGCGGATATCTTTGTCCAAACCTCTTTTAAAATGATGATGATGATGATGACGACTTTTATTGTTCTTATCATCATCCTTATGTCAACAGTCGGAGACAGATGAAACCCAAATAGTTAAGCAACTTGCCAGAGATCATAAATTCAGATGTATAGGCACTGATACAGAGAAGCAGGAGTATTAAAATTACTTTTAAATCAATAGAAACCTAACTCTTTTTTCAATTCCCTGAAAATTTTAAGTTTTCCTGATGGTTACTTTAGTGAAAAATTAGTATTAGATTTATTAAGGTTATGTGATAGCATCTTATCTCTTACTCTGTAAAAAGTGCTAATAAATTCTTACTTCCTCCCCTCAATAACAAAAGACTGAGCACTTCGTCCATGAGAGTCACCCTTAGCATCATGGGGAGACAAACTTCTAGAGGTCAGTAGCTGTCATAAGGCGCTTGCAATCTCGTAGAGGACTGTGACAGAGAATGAATAATAATACAATGTCCAGTTGCATGTCCTCTTTGAGCAGAGTCTAGAGCAGAAGCCCCCAGCTGTCCCTCAGTAACTCTTCTCCCTTTCTCTTTATCTAGACACATGGCCGCTGAGGATAAAGACTACATTTATCAGCCACCCCAGTGGCTTGGGATCATCATGTGACTAAGTTCTAGGCAACAGGATGTAAGTTCTAGGCAACAGGAAATGTGACTGCTTCTAGAAAGCTTACCTAAAAGGCAGCTGATGTATGCTCTCTGTGCCTTCTTTCCCTGCCCCCCATCCTACCATTTGAAACGTGGATATGAAGGCTGGAGCTGCATCCTGGACCCTGAAGGGAAGGGCCACTCCCTAGAGATGCAGAGTAGAAAGCCTGCAGGTACCTGGGTCCCTGAGGCCTTTGTAGAACAGAGCAGCAACACAGAGCCTGAGCTGCCTGCCTCTGGGTCTTTACAGGAGAGAGTAATAATATTACATTCTTATTTAAGCTATTTTTACTTTGGGTTTTTATGATTCACACTCAAACCTAATCCTGACTAATACAATTGGTAACAATGAAAGCGCCACATGTGGAGAAGATGGACAGATAACCCCTTGGTGGAGTGGGTTGGAGAAGACGGGGTATTAGGGAAAATGCGCAAAAGGCTGGTAAGATTTAAGGATGCATAGAAAGACATCAAGAATGAAAAGGAGGGTGAAAAACAGTATAAAAACATTGCTGAAATGGAAGAGTTCTAGGTATATTTGGGAAACATTAAACAGCTACAGATTGTTAGGAATAAAGTGATGGTTTCAGGCTGAAGATGTTAGGACAGGTAGTGGATGATTTTGAAAGTGCAATGCAAAGGGATAGGATCTTTCTTTAAATAGCAGGAATATTCTGGTAGCCTTGCAAATGTGCCTCTCAGACCTACAACTGCAGGAGACCTAAATGACTAGTGTCTCTAGTCACTGTGCTCTGAAACCCAGGACTGTGTTTGTACTGCAGACACACTTCCCAGGGCTGCTCCTGGAAAAAGATGGAGCACACACAGCAGGGGCACTAAGGTAGCCCAGGCTTGGGAGACCCAGGATGCTTCTGACAGGAGGCTTTGGCTACAGAACTCCCCAACAGCCTGGCCAAACTTTCCTTAGAACTGCTCGGCTGCCTAAGACTCTTCCACACAATGCTCTTTCCTTCTTTACCCTCTCTTTCACTCTGGGTCAGACTTGTGTGGGGAGCTCACGGCTCTCTCATCCCCTCCCAGCTCCCTCCCCCTTTACTCTCACATGGGGTTCCCCTAATAAATGTCTTACACATTTAATCTAGTCTTGGCATCTGCTTCTTGGAAGGCCTGGGCTAACTCAGACCTCTAAGGTTTTTTGCACAGTGGATATCGAGGGAGGTGTACGTGAGTACATCCTTGGGAAGACAGTCAGGGACATGAAGCTTGGAAACGCTGAGAAACTTCTGTGCTTTTAGATGTAAATGGGAATCACTTCAGGTTATGTGAACCAAAGACAGAAAAAACACATCAAAGAGACACAGAAATACTAACACTTACTGACTACTTACTATGTGCTGGAAATTTTCTGAAGCATTTTATGCGCATTAACTCATTTGGTCCTTTCTACAATCCTGCCATCAGTATCTCCATTTTACAGATGAAGAAACTGAGGCTTTGAGAGGTTAAATAATTCACACAAAGCGCTACAGCTAGTAAGTGGTGGAACTTAAGTTTAAATACAATCAGTCTGATTTCAGAGTCTATACTCTTACACTCTGTATCTACCATTTTTTAAAGTAGTAAAAACCTTTCTACTATTTTAAAAATAGTAGGTGTTACTGTATTTAACTATAATTGTTTTCCAATATAGTTGTAACTAATAAGTATTAACTAGTATATGTATTCCAAGAAAGTGAGCTTAAAGGAGTAATTCTATGTATTTGTCATTTTATGACAAAATGTGCATTTAAAACTAACATGAAGTTAACTGATATGGAATTATAGCACTAAAATACCTATTTCTTAAAATTAAGAGCTAACATAAACTGTACCCCATCACACTCACTTTTTCCTTTGAATCGAAGCATAGAAACTCTAAAACCTCCCACCATCTAGAAATGAGCTTCCCTTCTGAATTCTTGGGTGACCCAAACTCCAACAGTTTACTGTCCTTTATCCCAGTGATGATATGATTCTAACAATTATGTGTAATGTTCACCCTGAATATTTTTTATTTTTACACTTAACATTTCAAAACTGTCTTCAATAAATTATTTTAATTTATAAAAGGTAATTAGTGGGTTGGTTGGAAAAATACCAAACTGATCCATAACTGCCTAAAAAGGATGATCTGCTTACTGCTAACATCATCAAATTGCCTAGCACTTCATCTCATGGAAGAGTGTTTGGATTGACAAAGTGGTTAATAATGAGAATTGGAGAGGCCTAAATTCTATCAATAAGCAATTTTAGAAACATAATACAGAATCCGCTGGTCAAGTGTCAATACCAGTTAGTCCTTCAAAAAGCTGAAGTTACTAAACACCATTTTAATTCGGAGTTTTCACAAAATTAAGCCTGAAATCTAATTTTATTAAAATAAAACCATATTTACATCACTAAGAGGACTTTTATTGCATCATTATAATAAAGGCTAACTATTAGCTAATGTAAGGCACTGGTGTTGAATAATTTTCATTACTGTAAAATCAGCTAATGAATCAGTTTAAATGATCCATGTAAATTAGTCTCTTTTAAGGTAACCACCCTGACCTATTTATCCTTTATAAAACAATCTTTATACTAAGACTGTCTTGGTATAATTTTTAAAAGTGGAAAGATATCTTCCATTTTTCCTACAGAGAGGGAACGTGGTATTCATCAGAAACAAAGTAAAAGTGCTAACAAAAGATCAAGATGAAATAAATAAATAAATAAATAAATAAATAAATACTAAGACTTAAATATATATATAGTAGGACCTCAGTTTTTTTTTAATGCATATTGACCAGTAGAGGTCACTATCATACCAAGTCACGGGCTTGTTCAGCTATCAGAGAAATAAGAGGACTTGTCTGACTTCACAACAAAAATCAAATGTGAATAAAATAAAATAAAATAAAATTACACAGGCATATGCTGCTATACAAATATTCAAAGGTAAATGTAGATAATTCATCATTTTATATAAATATTTTTCTTTTTGGCCATGCTGCACGGCTTGCAGGATCTTAGCTCCCTGACCAGGGATCAAACCCAGGCCCCAACAGTGAAAGTGCTGAGTCCTAACCACTGGACCGCCGGGGAATTCCCATCATTTTATACATTTAATATGCATTATCATACTGATTTTCCTACTGTCCTCTGGATATATGTAAATTCATAAATATACATGTATATATTTCTTTTTTTGTCTATATAGCAATTTATTATTTATGCAAGCCAAATAGTAAAATAATCAAATATTTACAGGTTTAGAAGCTTTCTAAAATGTTCTTTATAAAAAGCAACAAAAATGTATGGTATCATAAAATCAAAATAGTATCTATTAATGCTCCTCCTAAGAATAAGACTTCATAACTGACCTAGGCAGTATAGCCCAATACCAGTATTTAAGAAAGATACATACATACTCTCCAGGACATGTGCATATTATCACATATTCAAAAAGGATTCAATTTCAACTAAAACAATGTCAAATATGCCAGAAAATATACACACAGAAGCTTAGAAAAGAATAGATGTGGAGACGGGATATAAACTTCAGTTCACTACCAGCAATGCCAAGAGGGAAATAAAGATCAGCTATTCTGTTCTAACTTTGTGAACCAAAAACTCCAGCGTAGCAGAAAATCTCTGGGTACAGATACCATGGTTTATGTACCCTGACTACCCATCCCACGCCCAAGTCACCAGTCAAGGCCTAAGTTAGGTGTACCTTCTGAGCCAAACCCATTCCTTACCTGCCCCCAAGTTACATTTGCTCCTTTGCTAATTCCTGAAATTCTTTTAATAGAAGAAAAGGTCTTTCATATTGTTAAAATAATCATATTGTTAAAATAACAGTCTTGAAATGAGTTTTGATTTAAATATAATCACTTAAACTAACAACTCTAAATCACTGTAGTCAACAGTTTCTCCATCTTGATGGGGAACATGGAAGAGGACAGGAAATGCGAGAAAAGATAAGAGAAGAAAGGAAAGGGTACAGAGGGCAGAAGACAGCTTCTGCAGACCTCACACTGATCCATGGGGTCAGTCTTAATTAGGAGGGTCGGAACAAAACCAGGCTGTGCACTTAAGTATTTTGTTCTTGCAGTTGCAAACTCAGGCATTTTATATGATCTACAGAGGTGATTTTCATTTTACTTTGTTTCCAAGTTTTTATCACAAACATTTTCTTCCAATTTTTTATGATGAACTTTTGAAATACATAAGAAAGTTGAAAGTAAAATGAATATCCTATTCCTAAATTCAACAATTTTTAATGTTTTGCCACATTTGCTATATCTATATATGTATGTGCAAACATTTATTTGTTTAAATACATGAATTTAGATATATTTACTTTTTATTTTTGGCTGAACCGTATTTTATTTTATTTTTTGTTGGGAATTTTTAATTGAAGTATAGTTGATTTACAATGTCATGTTAGTTTGAGGTGTACAGCACAGTGATTCAGTTATACATATACATATATATGTAAAACTGATTCTTTTCCCTTTTCCAGATTCTTTTCCCTTATAGTTTATGACAAAATATTGAGTATAGGTCCCTGTGTTATGCAGTAGATCCTTGCTGCTTATCTATTTTATATTTAGTAGCGTGTATATGTTAGCCTCGACCTTCTAATTTATCACCCCCACCCCCGCCCTGGCAGACCATTTTAAACTAAGGTGCAGACATCATAACACTTCATCCTTAAATACACCAGCCTGAATCTCCTAAAAATAAGAACATTCTCCTACTAACCACAATATCTTCCTAATTCCAAAGAAAAGGTACGGTACGAATAATTCCCCACCAACACCTAGTATCCAGTCCATATTCAGATTTCCAACTGGCTTAACAAATGTCTTTGATAGCTATTTGTTTTTAACCAGGATCTAATCAAGGTTCACATACTGCATTTGGCTGTTAGGTCTGGGAACAGTCCCTGCCTCCATTTTATTCAATGACATTGACTTTTTGAAGAGACCAGGCCAGTTATCCTATAGAATGTTCTATAGTTTAGATTTGCACAGAGGTTATTTTTAAAGTATCACCACCAAGGAGCTTGGTTACTGAGGACAGTACTAACTGTGGCATCATTCACCTATATGAAATAATTCTCTGATAAGTCAACTGAAGAGTAAAAAATCTGGAACTTTAATGTCAAATAGTAAAGCTAAAATAATGTTCTATTTCCATGATCATATGAGGCTTTTTGGTTATAACATCAATAATTAGGAGTAATATAAATTGACACAAATTATTTTAGGGAGTGAAATAATTTGAAACAAATGAATAAGGAATAATGTGATAAAACCAGCATTATGCCCAAGAATTCCTGACGCTTTACCCTGGCAGACTTATATTCCTTAGACTATTTTATTGCTTAAGCAAAAACCACCACTGTTTTGCTAAGGGTGCAAAAGGAAATATGACAAGAACACTTGGTAATTTACTCTAAATCCTTTTTAAAATTCTTCAGAAAGCAAATATACAATTGGGCCAGTAACAAGTATAACCTTGATATGTTAATACTTTCTATTGTTCCTGCGTACCAGTTAACAACCACCAAAAAATGAATACTAATTTTAAAATTAAAAATAAAAACATGAAAAAGAAATGAACTACAATAGAGATCTGGTCTGATTCTAGCCATAGGGTACATGTATTGGTGTGACTGAGATCACAGGCTTCCTTCTGGTGTTAGTTGAATCCTATGGCTGATTCCAAAGCAGAACAGACTCATAGAAAAAAATGTGTTCAGAAGCCTGTCAAATTTCCAGTGAGGGTCTAATATGCCATGAAAAAATATAATTGAAATATAGTACTTGTGGGTCTTAAATGAGTCAGTTCACAAAACACACTGTACCCAGGCCTATACTAATTGTGACACCATTCACTCTATGAAAGAATTCTCCAACATGTCAAATGCAGTGGAAAAAACCCTGGACATATAAAATCAAATAGTAAAGTATTTTCACAAATGAAATTATTTGTGGGAGGAAAAAAGCAGCTGTAGCTTCTATGCCTTAAATTAAATAGGTCGTGAAATAACTATGTAGCCAGAATTACATACTTGTGATAAAGACAGACAGATAATTAAGTTTTCTT